AAAAATCATAGAAATTAATGAAAATCATGAAAATTCAAATAAATCAGAAAAATGAAAAAAATATATTTTGTAGAATTTTTGCTTAGAGCAATTTTTCACTGGAAAATTTTGAAACTTTCCTTTAATCAGCTTCTCACTCTCCTTTATTTCTCCAAAAAATTTCACAATTTTCCCTTCACCAGTATTTCAAAAAAAATTAACATGTAAGCGGATGAATTTTTCTAAATTTTATATAAAAAAGTCAATTTTCCAAAATTTTTCCTAGAGTGATTTTTTACTGGAAAATTTTGAAATTTTGCTGAAATGAGCTCCTCACTTTCCTCCTTCTCTCCAGAAAATTTCACAATTTTCCCTTTGCCAGTTTTTCAGAAAAAAAATTAAAATGTAAGAGAAAGAATTTTTCTAAATTTTGTATAAAAAACTTAATTTACCAGAATTTTTCTTTTCTAAAGTGATTTTCCATAGAAAAATTTTGAAATTTCACTAAAATGAGCTCCTTATTTTCCTTTTTCTCTCCAGAAAATTTCACAATTTTTCCTTTGACAAGTTTTCCAGAAACAAATTAAAATGTAAGAGAATGAGTTTTCCTTAATTTTGCTTATAAAAGTCAATTTTGCAGAATTTTTCTTAGAGTAATTTTTCACTGGAAAATTTTGAAACTTTCCTATAATCAGCTCCTCGCTTTCCTTCTTTCTAGAAAATTTCATAATTTTCCCTTCATCAGTATTTCAGAAAAAAATTAAAATGTAAGAGAATGAATTTTTCTAAATTTTGCTTAAAAAAGTTAATTTTCCAGAATTTTTCCTGAAGTGATTTTTCATGGAAAAATTTTGAAATTTTTCTATAATGAGCTTCTCACTTTTTTCTTTCTCTCCAGAAAATTTCATAATTTTCCCTTAAACGATTTTCCAGAAAAAAAATTAATTTACAAGAGGCAGCATTTAATTTTTAAAAAACCTGGAAAGTCCTGGAAAATGGGAAAATTAAAGGTAAAAAAATTGGTTTTGGGACTTTTTGGGATCCCCTGTACAAAATGGCTATCTTTTTCCCCTTTTTTTTATTCTTTAATTTTTTTTAACTTTTGTTTTTTTTTTTTAATTTCTCTTCTATTTCTTTTTTAGTATTTTTTTTTATTTATTTATACCTATGTATATTCATTTATTCAAAAATTTTTAAATCACAAATTTTTGGATTTAAAATTCATTTTGTATTGATTATTTATTTTGATTTTTTATTTTGTTTTTTTTTTTCTTGATTGTCTTGAATTTTTGTGTTTTTCATTAATTTTAATTTTTGTAATTTGTAAATTTTTTATAAATTTCTAAATTTTTATTATTATTATTATTTTCGTAAATTTTTATGATTTTCGTGATTTACGAGTTTTCTTGATTGTATTGAATTTTTTTGTAATTTTTCGTTATTTTCTTAAATTTTTCTCAATTTTTCGTAATTTTTTGTGATTTTTCCAAATTTTTATGATTTTTTTAAATTTTTGGGATTTTCATAAATTTTTATGGTTTTTGTTATTTTTGTAAATTATTATGATTTTTGTCATAAATATTCATGAAAATCTTGATTATTCAAAAAAATCATAAAAATTTAGAATATCACAAAAAATCATGAAAAAAATACAAAAAAATTTAAAAATGGATGAAAATCAAAAATCATGAAAA